ATCTTTTTAAAAAGTCACTTCTATCGAACATTGCGTATCTTGAAATTGGTTTTTGTAGGTGAAATTTTCAGTATTTTAACTCAGGCCCACCACAGGAAATATAGGACTAACATGTCCCTAAATCAGTCCTGTAGTGTTGAAGATGGAAGTTTCTCAGTGTGTGACTTTGACTTTGTTCCTTTCCAAATACTCTAAAAGGATAAGAACCACTGTCACCTATGTTCTGTGTTAGTACACAGCATCTGATATACTTTGGTGCTCAGTAAAGCTCATAATAAGTTGCTGAGGAGAAAGGCATTATTGTTTATTACATTCTGAACAGTGCCAGTATTATGATTTTGTTTGCATTTAAAGTCAGCCCTTGAGACATAAACTGCCTGCAGTGTTTTAAGTATGAAACATGGGTAGGTGGTTTGAAGACATTTCTGTGTGGTTCTATATTACAGTTTGAAATTTACTAGTAATTCATTTGCTACTTGGCATTTGTAACACTCCTGGTGGTAATGGAGACTTTGAATATTTGCCATTTCTTGGCCTCACAGAAGACGTACCCTCATTAAAAACTTTTTTTTAAATTTATTTTTACTTTTTAATTACATGTATGTTTGTATATCTGAGTTGGATCTATGCACATGAGTTCGGGTGGCAGAGGAAGCCAGAGGTTTTGGGACTATCCCCACCCCTAGGAGCTGGAGTTAGAGGCAGTTAGGAGCTGCCCAATGTGTTTGCTAAGGATTGAATGCAGGTACTCTGAAAGAGCATTGCGTGCTCTTAACAGATAAGCCATCTCTCTAAGCCCCCTTCTTTTGTTTTTGATATGCTAAGGATGTATTTATTTAGTTACTTATTCATTTTTTAAATATCAGGGTCTCATGTAGCCCAAGTTGACCTCAGGATTCCCAGTGTAGCCAAGGATGACCTCATCCTCCTCCTTCCACTTTCCTAGTGCCAGGATCACAGGTGTGTGTGCTACCATGCCTGGCAGTAAGTTTTAGTTTATGCTTTTCCATAGCATTTTTCCACTCTAGCACAAAATTTTAATGTTTATGTAAGTACATACTCTTTGTATAAGAAATTTTTGCCCCCTTCCAGTTTTTAGGGGTAGAGCCCAGGGCCTTGGAGATGCTAGACAAGTGCATTTTGACTAGTGTTTCTGTCCAGCAGCATCCAGGGTAACTTTTAGGGGTTGAAAGAGGGCTACTCAGCTAGCAAGAGTTTTTCCTAGCAAATGAGACAAGCTGTGAAAATTGAAACCAAACGACAGAAGCAAACTCAAAAAAAAAAAAAAAATTGAGGTTAAATTAATATAACATTATGTAACATGTTTAAAGCTTTCATTGGCAATGTTCTCCAACTGACATATGTATGTAGTTTCTAACATTTTACCATCCCAGAAGAGGAAATACTATTGATTAGGCAGTTGTTTTCCACCTCTATCCTGGGGACATTGACATTTAGTTCTACATTGACATTTTAGGCCTACATATGCCTACATTCTCATTCTCTGTTATATCACTCTGTTATATCTCTCATTCTCTATGACTGAATATGACTACTATACTTTATACCTGTTCTACAGTTTATTCAGCTTTGGTAAATATTTGGGTTGTTTATCCAATATTTGGCTATGGTAACTATTGTTACAGTAAACATTCATGTATGTGTATTTTGGTGCCAGCTTTCAATTTTGGGGAAGGTACCTAGGAATGGCATTACTAAATCATATAGTAATCTCTTTAGCTATTTGGCAAATCACCAACCTGTTTCCCACAATAGCTGTCCCGTTTTATATTCCTTCTGTCAATGTTCAAGGTTTCTAGTTTCTCTGTATCTTTGCTAACACTTGCTGATTTTTATTTTTATTACAGTCATCCTCATGGATGTGAAACAGCATTTCATTATTTTTATTTGTATTTTCCTAATGACTAATGATATTGTTCATCTTTCATAGGCTTGTCAGCTTTTTATATATTGTATTTAGAAAAATGTATAAGTCTTCTGCCCATTTTAAAATTCGTAGCTTGCTCATTTCTTGTTGAGTTCTGTCTCTTTTGTATTATTTATTTATTTATTTTTTGGTCTTTTTGAAACAGGGTCTCCCTGTATCTCCAGCTGGCCTGGAACTCACTATGTAGATCATGTTGGCCTTGAACTCACAGAGATCTGCCTGCCTCTGCCTCCCATGTGCTGGGACTACAGGCATATGCTACCATGCCCGGCCTTCTTTATTATTTTTAATTTATGTGAATGAGTGTATTGCCTGCATGTATATAAGTGCACTTGTGTTGTGAAATGCCTGAGGAGGTCAGAAGAGGGTGTCAGATCCCCTGGATCTAGGGTTGGACTGTTGTTAGCTGCCATGTGGGTGCTAGGAACCTGAACCTGGGTCCTGTGCAAGAGCAGTCAGTACTCCTAAGCATCTTGAGGTATCTTTCCAGTCCCATTGTTCTGTTTTATTTTTTGAGTCAGGATCTTACTCTGCAGCTGAGGCTGACCTGTTAGTCATAGAGTAGCCCAGGCTACCCTTAAACTCCTGGGAGTCCTTAATCCTGGGATTATACCTGTGCCACCATGCCCTGCTGTTTTATTTTCTTGATAATGACCTTCGATACAGAAAAAATGAATTTTGATGAAACCTACTGTATTATCTTTTTCTTTTATTGAATGCACTTTTTTTTTTTTTTTTTTTTTTTTTTGAGGTGGGGTCTCCCTGTAGTCTCAGCTCACTTGGAACTTGCTATGTAGACATGCTGGCCTCAATGTCACAGATATCTGCCTCCCTCTGCCACCATGTAAGTGCTGGAATGAAAGTTGTGCACTACCATGCTTGTCTGGCTGGCCTTTCTTTTTCTCCCTCCCTCCCTCCCTCAAAAAAAATCTGTAAAACAATTTTGCATTTCTTTAGTGTGTTGAGTGTGAGAGAGTGTATGTGTGTGTTTGTGTGTACCTGGAACTCGCCAGTTTTGCTAGTGTAGTTAACCAGCTGACCCCAGATTCTCAACTCTCTGCCCCTCCAAGAACTCTGGGATTAGAAGCAGGCCACCACACCCTCCTGGCTTTTTTTGTGGGGGCTGGTGCTCTGAATTCTGGTCCTCAATGCTTATATGACAAGCACATTATCTACTGAGCCATCACTTCAGCCCCCAAATTGGCAGAATTTTTGTGATAGAAGAATTAAGGTGAGAAATGCTAAGTAAAAAATGAATGCTGGCTTCTAAGGTTTATTCTTGTACATTGTTAGGGAGATGTGTGGATTTTTGTGTGATTACAAATGAAGAGGAGAGCATGCATGTATGTCTTTTAGGAGTAAAGGTGATATTTTATCTTTTTCCTTAAATGTACATTAAAACTAACCTACCAACCAATGCAAATGAAAAGAAGATCATTTAAACCTATGAACTGGATTACTGGAAGACGACTTGATTGTTGGAAAAACAACTAGAGAACTTTTAGAGCAGCTTTTAAAAAATTCTGTTTTTTATGTATGTGTTTTGCCTGCATGTATATAAATGCACCACGTGCATGCAGTGCTCAAGGAGACAGGAAAGAGGGTGTTGGATCCCCTGGAACTGGAGTTGTGGATGGCTGTGAGCCACCATGTGGGTGCTTGGAACTAACCCGGGTCCTCTGCAAGAGTAGTCAGTGCTCTTAACCACTGAGCCATCTCTACCCACTAAAACATCTTACTATTATTTCTTTCCATACATTAAATTTAGGAGTGAATGTTGAAAATAAAACTTGTTAATCATTAATTTGTTTCTTAAATAAGTTTTTAGTAATGTAGAAAGAACCAAGAGGAAAGGAATTTTTAGCCTTAGTAATGTTGCTAATAAATGCTAGAGAAATATTTAATACCATAAATAAGTAGGTATTCATTCTTACCCTCTTCATGTTTGCATGTATATGTATACATATGGAGGCCAGAGGTCAGCATTGGATATCTTCCTTAAGTCAGTCTCTACCTTATTTAATGCACTTTTATTTATTTATTTTTGTCAATTTCATACATATAAACATGCTTCTTGACTATATATACCCCAATTCCTCCTCCTCCCTCTAGGAACCCCCAATTCTTCTCTCACATTCCCCTCCAGGCACCCTCCAAAACATCTTCCTGCTACTTCATGTCCTTTCTTTCTTCTTTTTTTCCTGGTTAATAACCCACCAAGTCTGATTACTGCTGCCCAGAATATTGACTGACTTTGTTGACTTGATCTTGTCTAGGTCTTGTTCAGGTAATCACAACTACAGTGAGTTGACGGGGACAGTGGCCATACCATGTCTAGAAGACAGCATTTTATAGTACTCCTCCCCATCCTCTGGCTCTTATGTTCTTTCTACCCCTCTTCCGTGGTGCTCCCCAGACTTCGTTGGAGTGGGAGGTCAGAAGAGGGTGTGGGATCCTCTGGAACTGGAGTTAAGGACGGTTGTTAGCTGCCATATGGTTGCTTGGACTTGTACCTGGGTCTTCTGGAAGAGCAGCCAATGCTCTTAACTGCTGAGCCATCTCTCCAGCCCAAGAGTAGTATGCACTCTTAACTGCTGAATCATTTCTCTAGCTCCTCTTTGTACACTCTTTATTTAAAACTTTTATTTATTTTTATGTGTAAGAGTATTTTGCCTGTATGTAAGTGTACCTTACGCATGCAATACCCGTGGAGGCCAGCAGAGAGTGTTGGATTCCCTGGAACTGGAGTTAGGGAAGGTTGTGAGCTGCCATATGGGTTCTGGAAACTGAACCCAGGTCCTCTGCAAGAGCAGCTAGTGTTCCTAACCAGTGAGCCATCTCTCCAACTCTCTTTGCACATTCTTGATCCCGACCTTTGTCAGATACATGATTTACAAATTTGTTTTTCATATTGTATTTGCCATTTACTTTCTTTGTAATGTTTGGTGCACAGAATAGTCACTTGGAGTAGTAAAGTAGGGTTATATTTTATGCAGAGCTATCTCCTCCTGGAAAGGACCCTCCCGAAAAATGAAAATCACTTATTTTATTGAAAGATATGGAATGCTTCAGGGATTTGCATGCCATTTTTGTGCAGGGGCTGTGCTAATCTTTTCTCTGTCGTTCAAGTTATAGTATATGTGCTGCCAAGGTGAGCACACAAGATTCTTTGATGAAAAATAATAAAAGTCGTCTTTCTGGCTTGTGCTATGTGAAAAGATGGAAGCACTTGACCTAAATTTTCTGTGTGTGGGTGTGACTATTTATTTATTTAGAAAAAGGATCTTGCTATGCTGTCTATGCTGACCTAAAAGTCATTGTGTAGTAGTCTAGGTTGACCTTGAACAATGATCCTCCTGCTTCACCTTCTTGGGGATTATAGGCATTACTTTTATACTCCATTTCATTCAGGCTTGAGTGGGCTTTTATAAGCCCAAATGAAGAAATCTAAACAGACGGAGTTATGACCAAGGGGAAAAGAAGTTGAACAAAGATTGGGGCGGGTCTGGGGAGATGGCTCAGCAGGTAAAGTGATTGCCACACAGTCACTTTCTTCACACTGACTTATGGTCCATTCACATTTTTTTATATGCTACTTGTATTTGTCTATTGTGTGAATACTGGAGTTTGACTCCCCAGAACCCAGTAAAGTCTGGGTGAGTGTGGTGGCCTGCCTGTATTCTCACCTCAAGAGGTGAAGAATGGGAATTCCCAGAGTAAGGTAACTAGGCAGATAAGCAAAAGCAGCAGCAAGTTCCAGGTTCACCTGTAGCAGTTGCCCCAATATATAAGATATAGAACAATTAAGGAAGACACTTGCTGTCAACCTTGGGCCTCCATATGCACATACATGCTTGTGCATTTTACACACATACACACTCAACTCATACCTTATGAAAAAGATAAGGGCAAAGAATTGGGAAGACATAGGTTTAATAGACCTGAGTTTGGATTCCTAGAACCCACATAAAAGCTGAACCTGTGGCACAAACCTGTGATTTTAGTACTTGGGGATGGGGCAGATCCCTAGAGCTATTGGCTAGCCAGTATAGTTGAATCCATGAGCTCCAGAATTAATGAGAGTTCATACCACAGAAAATAAGATGAAGGGGCTGGAGAAATGGCTCAGTGGTTAAGAGCACTGAGTGCTCTTGCAGAGAACCCAGGTTTGATTCTGAGCACCTAAATGACAGCTAACAACCTTCTGTAACTCCAGTTCCAGGGGATACAGCGCCCTCTTCTGACCTCCAAGGGCATTGCACAACATGGGTGCACCTACCTACATGAAGGCATTATACTCATAAAATAAAATAAAATAATAAAATATTCTTTAAAAGTTAAAAACATTAAGATGGAGAGTTGATAGACTCCTGATAATCTCTGACCTGCACTTGCACATGCACATTCACATGCACATGTGCACTCAAGTGCACATGAGCAAATACACAACACAGGCAAAAAGATTGGGTCAAAGAATCTCATTGGATAGTTCTATGTAGAAAGGAAATATATAGCAATAGTGCATAGGATATGGATTATATAAAGTTTTTTCCTTTGTAACTTATGTAGCATTTACATTTTGCACATTATTTTAAGAGAAAATCTTACACAATCTTAAATTTTGACTGTATTTTCCAGACTTGCTGCTTTCTTCACACTGACTTATGGTTCATTCTCATTGTTTTATCTGCTACTTGTATTTGTCTATAGTTGGCTCCTTTCCCCTGAACTTCAGTTGTGCATTTGCTTCTTTAACAGTATTCTGTGTCGTCTTAGCCCTAGCAAGGCACCCCAGACCCCTCTGTAGCCTTGCAGCATACTATCCTGTGCTTTTACCACTACAGCCTGTCCTCTCTGCCTTTTTCTGTTGGGTTCAGTCCTCCTGGGATTCATCCCACATCTTGCCCCAAGGGTGAGGGCTTTCCTGATTCCTCACTCCCCTGTGGTCTCCAGCAGTCTCTGTTATAGTACTGACCACAGTGCTGTAACTACTTGTTTTTCACCTCCATGGGCTTGTAAGCCCCTTAGGGAATAGACTGAGATTTTCATTGTCCTCATATCTAGCAGAGTATGTGGCTCAGTGTTTGCATCAATCTGTGAGTTACATGAATAAAAGATTTGTACCGTCATGGGGTACAAACTGGTAGATATGGGCTGGATCACACACGTGGATTTGATCATGTGCCAGACTGCTTTTATTTACTCATTTGATGTGTGTGAGTGTTATGCCTGCATGGATGTAAGTGTACCTATATGTACTGTAGTGCCTGACAAGGCCAGATGTGCGGGTTAGGTCTGCTGGAACTGGAGTTACAGATGGTTGTTGCTCACCACTTGGACGCTGGGATTCAAACCTGAATCTTCTGCAAGAGCAACAGTGCTTTTAACTGCGGAGCCATCTCTCCAGCTCCCACAAACTGCTTTATAATGGGGGATGCTTTACATAAAAAAACCTTATTCCTATAATCTGAAAAAATGAGGTACCCTCTTCTGGCCTCCTGCAACATTGCACACATGTGGTACACTTACATACATGCAGGCAAAAAACCACTCATACACAGAAAAGAAATAGATGAAGTTTAAAACAGACTTGATAAGAGTCTGTTATTTTATTTTATTGGATACAGGGTCTTCCTTGTAGTCACAGCTGGCATGGAACTCACTATGGAGACCAGGCTGGCCTTGATCTCATAAAGATCCCCCTACTTCTGCCTCCCAAGTTCTAGGATCAAAGGTATGTGCCACCACACCTGGTTTAGAGTCTGTATTTTAGTGTGTATTATTTTTGTTGTTGTCGTTAAAATAAACCTTTCCTGTTTTCAGCTAATTTGCCTGAAGAAATCTTTAATTCCTTTATGTGAAAATGGAATTTTGTTATATTTGCATTTTGTCACTTAAGTTTGAAATGTTAAAAGAATTAAATTAAGTTTGGTTCTTGAAATTTATGCAAAACTTAAGAGCACTTTTGCCAAAGATATGGTCTAGATACTCTTTCACAGGGGACTAGTTTTCGACCCCACCCCTACCCCCACCCTACCCTCCTCTTACCCCCAAGGTGTGTCTCTGGAAGGTGAAGCGACACTGAAGGGTCTCAAGCAGGACAGTAATGGGATCCATTGTTTTAGAGACTTTGGTTCTGTAGGAATTTGGATCAGAATTAGCACAGTGTGAAACAATGGTGGATCAGAAACTGCAGGAGGTCCTACTAGGATGGAGGCATACAGATGGGAATTCTGTTTATTTTCAATATAATTTTTAAAGTCTTTGAGCTAGCTAGATTATGAAACCCCCTTTGAGGTAAAAATGAGTTGGTACCATGTAATATTTGAAATACTGTGAGTAATCATGTTCTCTTAGTAAGTTGCTGTGTAGATTAGATAGAGAAAAGAATAACAGGACTGTATTTGCTGAACAGGCAGAAATTTATGTTACCTTTTGTCCTCCCTGCTCCCTTTCTCTTTTTCCTCCTTCCTCTGTTTTTTCCCTCTGCACACTCCTCTCCATAGGGTCTTCTATGTTACCCCAGCAAGTGTTGATATCTAGGACTCACACAGTTCTGCCACCTCAGTGTTCCTGGCGTTGGGACTATAGGCATGCTGCACTATACCTAGTGTGCTGTATAGCTTCAGTTGTCAACTTGATACACCTGGGAATTCCTCAGTTGGGGAATTGTCTATTGGATTGGCCTGTGGGTGTGTCTGTAGGGCATTTTCTTGATTGATGAGTGATACAGTGATGTAGCGTGGTACCACTCCGGGCAGGTGGTCCTAGGTTGGATAAGAAATCAGGGTGAGCACAGGCCATTGGAGCAAGCCAGTAGCAGCACTCCTCCCTGGTCTGTATGCCTCCCTAGTCTGTGCTTCAGCTCCTGCCTCTAGGTTCCTGCCCTAAGTGGCTGCCTGACTTCTCTCAAAGATAGACTGTGCCTTGTAAGTGTAAGGGGAAATAAACAGTCCCCTTGCCTCCAAGTTGCTTTTGGTCATAGTATTTATCAGAGCAATGGAGAGGCTAACTAAAACAAGTGGCTTCCTGTTTTTGGAATGATCAGGTGTGTATGAGCATCATTTTACACACAGAAATACCCACTTTGAACTGGGCATTCAAGTTGAGAACAGGGATCATAGACTTGAGGCTAGCCTGGGCTACATAGAGACTTCCAGGTCAGTCTGTAAAACAAAAACTTCAGAGTAGTGTGTGTGTGTGTGTGGGGGGGAGAGGCTTGTTTAGAAGAAGGTTTTCAGTGAGCAGAAGAGGGGGATGAGAGAGTGATGAGGAAAAATGACCAAAATTCATTACATACATATATGAAATTAGCAGATAATAACAACAACAACAACAAAACAGAACAAGACAAAAATACTTAAAAAAACCAAAAAACCCCAAAAAACCAGCCTGTAGAAGAATGGCTTTTCTATGGTGCTCCGAGGGTATATCCCTGAGTTTTGAGAGGTGAAGTGAGAGAAGGGAGAGCAGAAAAAATGTACAGGTAATGCTCAGTCAGTTCCACAGTTGGCTTGTTGGAAATAAGAGACAGTTTATTCCAGCCTTATTTATTTTATTTTATTTTTATCTTTTATGTGTATGAGTGTATTGCCTGCTTGTGTATTAGTGCACCTCTGTCATGCAGTGCCTTTGGAGGACAGAAGAGGGCATCGGATGCCCTGTAACTAGAATTAGGGACGTTGTTAGCTGCCATGTGGGTGTTTGGATTTGAACCCAGATCTTCTGCAAGAACAGTCAGTGCTCATAGCCGCTGAGCCATCTTTCCAGCCCCCAGCCTTGTTTTTCAAATTTGTTTTGATACTATATTTTCAGTTAAACTAATGTAATGAACTATTTTGACCTCGTTGTGAGACCAGAAAAACTAGACCCCAACTGCTAATTGGATACATAGTTGGGTGGGTGATAAACCTATACATAACTGCAGTAGTAAAGCCATCTACTAATATTTATTAACCTCCATCACTTTGTCCAGTACTTAGCAAAATACTTTCTCATATGTTACCTTGAGGTGTCCTCACTACATTTTTACTCTAGATGCTTTTAACTGTTTTTTGTAGCTGATGGAATCTAGGATTAGATAAATAATAAATAGTAAGTAATTTGACCTTTAGAGGCTACTGTGAGTACAGGTAGTCTCCCAGAGCCCTCAGTTCTAT